GGCGGGGGGAGGCGGAGGTTGGGGGAGTGCAGATCCGCCGCACTCTCACGGAGGGCGTGAGGTGACAGCCGCAGACCCCGTAAACGCACACGCCCTGGACCCGGCAGTTCCGCTCCTGGGAATGCACGCTCCCGGCGGACCTGCCCAGTGCACAGTGAAGTGAGGTCAGGGTTATCCTCTGCCGCGCCGTAAAGGCCGCGGACTGGAAAGGGGCCAGCAAGTCATCAGGTGGGGCTGGTCAGGTCCACGATGGCACAGACGGACAATGGAATGCGACGGGCGGCTTTAAAATACTGGGGAGCTCATTGTATATCAACGCGCGACACATCTCCGAAAGGTATTGCTGGGCAGAAAAGCCAAGATGCAGAAAAGTATGCGTGGGGTATCATTAATGTGGGAAAAATAAAAAATAAAAAAGGAAGCAAAAAGGATACACAGCTGTCCCTTATTCTACAAATCCTTAGAATTCCAGGTCAGGAGCTGAAGAGACACTGGAGTACTGGCCGCCCTGACCGTGCACAGAAATGCCCCGGATGGAGGAATGGGAATGACCTGCAGCGTTACCTGTTGGGTTAGGGGAGGGAACTCGGCTGACAGGGATAGGTGGGAAGAGCTTCTTGAGGCTTGTCATTTCGAGGTGGGAACTCCATTCCCAGCTAATGTCGACAGGGCACTGGCTGTGAGCCCAAGCCTGTTCTGAAAGCTCCCTACGGAAGGGCTCACCGGGCTGTCATGACCAACCACCCTGATGCCGTGGGGACGAATATTACGGGTCACATCTTATGACGAGGAAACTGCAGCACAGAGAGGTCAGGTGGCTTCCCAGAGGTCACACCGCTCTCTCAGGAGTGAGTTGGGCTCCCGTCCCACACCTGTCTCCACGGCGACACAGGCACGCCACCTAACTGCAGAGGACACATATCGAGGGCTCCGTGTGGTCCCTCCGTGTGGAAGTCCCCTCTCCCGCCTTCGCTTAGGGTTTTGGGGGAACTCGCAGGCCCCCTCCCTTCAAATGAATTCCCTTCAAAACTCCACCCGGCTCCCGGCTCCCGGCTCGTCTCTGTGCTGCTGAGCTGGGAGCGGCGGCCTCGACAGTGTGCGTGCTGGCATCTCCCCCGCATCGCGGCCTCGTGTAAATTTCCACCTTGCCCTGCACCGCAGTCTAAGCTCCCAACACGTGCTGTTGCAATTTTAAAACATCCATCCTTCCACCTTCGTGGGGACCGCACCCCAAGACGGAAATAAGGACTCGTCACCAACAGCGGCAGCGTCTCAGGTGGCCTCCAGGAGTTACTCTGGGACCCGCTGACGTTCTGCTCAAACTCACACGTTTCACTAACAAGCGAACAGTGGGGCCAGAGCTTTCCACAGGGAGTGTCGCCCAGCAGGTAGGGACAGGTGGGCGGAGAATCAGCAGCCATTCCGCCCGGACCACCAAACTAAGTCGACTCCGGGCCTGGAACCAGGAGTCTGCCCCGGAAGCCTGACTGATTGGGGTCAGGGGCCCCTCTGAAGACGGGGACGTGGTGGGGCGTGAGGAAGGACAGAGCCGAGGTCCCTAAACCAGGAGAGGTTTAGGGTGGGGCACAGGACGAGGACAGGGGACTGGTGGACAGGACGGTGCTGCTTCTAGGCGTCACCCCTGGTGCGAAATTTACCAGTGAGATGTGGTAACAGCGCCCTAGAGAGTCCGCCCTGCGGGAGAGAGACTCCCAACCCCCACCCCCACCCACCTACACTGGCCCCCTCCTGACAGCAGTTGGACCGCTTGGCTGTCGGAGACAGAGTCATTTTAGAGATTGATTTGCAAAATGTCGGGGGGCCACGATAAAGACCCACTTTCCTCTGCTCACAAGCCCATTCGGCCGCTCTCGGCCACTCTCGGCCGCTCTCGGCTGGGGCATGGCCCGCGTGCTGTTCAGCCTCTGCCTCGAGCACTGGAGGGGGCGACCGACGAAGCTCCGCCTCGCCCGCATCGCCCGGGAGCCCAGTCCCTCTCATGAGTCGTGAGTTGGCTGGGTTCCAGGCCAGCCGGCCCTGCTACCTCCCAGTGAGGGGCCAGGGGCAAGCCACCTCGCCTCCCCAGCCCTCGCTATCCGTAACAGTCCCCGCCATGCAAAGTGCCTAGCACAGTGGCCGGCATGTGGCGTGGCTCCATAAATGCCCAGACACCACGATTACGGTAACTGCCATCAGGAGCGGTAGACGGTGGGTGGACATCCCTCCACACGCGACGCAGACGGCCCCCGGTCACCTAATCTCGGTCACGTCTGACTTGTCCAGCTTCTGCAGCTCCAGCTTGGCGGCCTCCAGGATGGGCATGACCTCGGCAAGGGCCGTCTCGGCCTCGGCCTTCTCCACGGCGATGACCTTGTTCTGCTCCTCTATCTCCACGGCCTTTTCTTCCGCGAGCTTCTTCTTTTCCTCCGCTGTCGGGGGGTGGGGCGGGGGGTGGGAGAAGTTAGTGAAGCTACGGGGCGTGGGAGGATGGACCCCACCACGAGCCAGTCGAGGGTCGCTGCTGGGCCACAGGGGCATCTGATGCGCCTCGGCCAATACGGCGGCCACGGGTGCTCCCGCTGGAGCAGAAGCACCAAACTCCACCACCAGACCGGCGGCTCCGCCTTTGACCGTCCCACCCATGTCCTATCCGCTCCGTGTTGTGTGACGCCCCCAGCCCCGACTGGACGGTGCTAGCTGAGGACACTGGGGCTGCCCTGCCTGGTGCTACTTCACCTCTTCCTATGCTCACCCAGGCCCAGCTCGAAAGCCACACCCCCTAACGTGTCCCGCCCGCTCTGTCTCTCTCCGGCTCATCACTCTGTTTATTTGCTTCAGGATGCTGACCTCAGTCCGGAATTTCAGCTACTTATTGACCCGCCGATTGCCGGGTTCCACGCACTAGAACGTACGCCTCTCCCCAAGGGCTGTAACCCCAACACGTAGAACGGGGCTTGGCTCACAGATGTACCGGGTTGAATCATGTTTCCCTGGAAATTCAACGCACCCAGAACCTCAGAATGTCACCTTATTTGGAACGAGGGACTCTGTGGATGTGACTAGTTAACATGAGGTCTTACTGGGTGACGGCGGGCCCTGAATCCAATGCTGTGGCCTCGCGAGAGGCCATGTGAGGACACAGGGACGTGGACAGAAGGTCAAATAAAGATGGAGGCAGAGGTCAGAGTGATGCGGCTACAAGCCGAAGAACGCCCAGGCCTGCCAGCAACACAGGAGCTGGAGGCGGGGAGGAGCCTCGCCGGGACCTGGAGCCCGGAGGAACCCCGGCCCTGCCTCCGTCTCCGTTTCAGACCTCTGGCCCCCAAATCGGGAGAAGATAAAAGCCTTGTTTAAAGCTGCCTAGTTGGCAGTGCTGCGTTTTGGCGGCCCTGGGAAATGCATACAGCAGGCACTCAATACATGTACGCTGAGCGCACTGGTATCTCCCGATGCGGCATCTCTCGGGGTTCACCTTCGCAGTCAACAGGCAGGTGCTGACGGAGGGTCTGCAGCGGGGAGAGACGACCTGTCCCCGCCCCGTCAATCCCTTTGGCCACCAGCTCCAGGTCCTGTATGCGGTGAAGTCTCAGTGCTGACTAAAGGGGGTTTGACGCTGACCGGGCAAGAATGGCCGTCGAAGCATCAAAAGATGCCCCTCTCGGCGCCTACACACGGCTCCTCGGAGACGTCTCCCCGTGAGCCCAGTCCCGTTGCGTGGGGCATCCCCGGCCCAGACTCGCCTGTGGCCGTGTTGATGGCGATCTCCTCCAGCAGAGCCTCGCAGGCAGCAGACTTCTCCGCCAGCACGATCTTCTGCTCGGCCAGCTTCTGGTTCAGCTCGTCCAGCTGAATGGTGGCCTCCTTCAGCTTGTCCAGCCCCCCCTCCAGACGCTTGCACTGGGCTGGGGAAAGAGGCCAGCCACATTTGTCATCAAGGCGGGCGCTGTCCCCAGCATACCCAGGTGAGCGTTCCAGTGGCCCCCACTGCGACTCATCCAGCTTGAAGTCACCGGGGGGAAAGAAATCACTGTCACTAGATGTCACGCACCTTCCAGTGCCCCCACGGCCATTCTGGCCGGCATCGGCCAGAGTGGATGTATTTCTGAAAACAGCACCCCGTCTGGCCAAAAGCCAGAGCATTTTTCAAAAGCATTTTCCAACAGAGCACATTGCTGCCATCAGATATCTCTAATGCAATGAAAATTTAGACCTAAGACAGTTTATGGCCCAACACAGGAAGATTTTAAAAAAGCACGCCAGGGCCCTATTCACACAGGAAAATCGCTCTGAAACGCAAAATCCGAAATACGCCTTGCTTCACCTCGGTCCTGAATAGGCCTCTTGCTAAGACACATCTGCTTAAGGAAAAGGTCAGAGCTTCGGTCCTGACTCGTCAGTCGTAACGACTTCTGTCAACCGCCCCTTTCCCAAGTCTTACCTATGTTGTACTGAGTTTTCTCATCCAGCAATTTCGAGTACGTGTTAATAAAATCCAGGTAATTCTTGGGAGTTACATAGTTGCTGCGTCTCAGTTTCTGCAGAAATTGTATGCTGAATTCACCCACAGATTGGTGGACCAGAACCACATGTTCGACTAGACTTTCTGTATACTCTGCTGGGATCATCAGATTATCCCCTGAGGAAGAAGGAATGGAAAAACCACCTCTTAAAGACAGGAAAAGGGGCCTTCCTCCGAAGGTCAAACACAGAATTCTCACAGGAGCCGATGACAATCCCGCTCTGAAAATCAGATGTAAGCGTGTTCTCGGCAGCACCGTTCACAATAGCCGGAGTGGAAGGGACCCGGGCGTCCATCACCGGAGCATGGGTACGCCAACGGCGGCGTATCCACACGGCGGAATATTCCTCAGTCTTAAAGAGGGAGGAGCATCTGGCACACGCTACAGAGTGAATGAACCTTGAAAACGTGCTAAATCAGAGAACCAGACACGAAGGACCAGTGTTGTGTGATTCAACTTACACGAAATATCTGGAAGAGGCAAATTCATGGAGGCAGAAAGTAGCTCAGGGGTCACCGGGGACTGCGGGGTGGGGGAGGGTGGGGAATCAGGTTTAATCGGCAAAGAGTTTCAGTTTCACGAGATGGAGGAAACCATCCTGGAGACTCATGGCGGTGGTGGTCACGACAATGTGAACGCACTCAACGCCACTAAGCGCACACTCGAAAATGGTGAAAATGGAAAACCCTATGTTACATATATTGTACCATGACAAAAAATGACATAAAGATGTTTTAATTAAAAAAAAAAAAAAGGAGAAGAGCAGTTATGGCCTGCTGGTGGCTTTCCCGGACGGCAGCCCTGGTGCGCGCTCTGGGATTCTCTCTGAGAACGCACGAAATTCTGCTCCTGCCGGTAGGAAGGTCTGCCTCCCGAATCGCCGAGACACAGTGCGGGGAAGGGCTTGGGACCTCAGGAAAGAAATCCACCCGGTGTCCCCGCTGCACCCTGTGCCTAGCACACACTGGGCCCGAGGCGGGTCTGCCTGAAAGTCTGCCGAAAGATTCAGTGACCTCTCCCGGGGCCCAGGTCACCTCACTCAGCAAAACACTCTCACCTCCAAGCAGACTATGTCTCCAGTTAAAATGAAGGAGGGAAAGACTAACCAAAAGTGCACATTCATCCAGCTTCTGCAGCTCTGATCTTGAATTACACCCAGGGCCAGCAAACCACAGCCCGTGGGCCCCTTGCACGGCATGCATAAAAAAAAAAAAAAAAGTGCCTCGCAAATATTCATACTTTGGGGCATAGTCATTGCAATGCCGGCGAATACATTCCAAGGAGGGAAATTCTGAGCAAACTCCATGCAGCGTTATTTGGGATGCTAAACCGCTGACTACTGAAAGCAAACCTAAGTGCCCACATGTAGAGGTGGCTAACACACCTATGGAAGCTCGGGCACCTCTGTCGGGGTTGGCAAACTATGGCCCACAGGACAAGTCTGTCCCACGGCCTGTTTTTGTAAGGTTTTACTGGAACACAGCCATGCCCCTCCACCCATTCACACGATGGCCATGGTGGAACCGAGCACTTGCAAGAGGATGGATGGCCCATGAAACTGAAAATATTTATCGTCTGGTCCTTTACAGAAAAAGTTGGCTGAGCCCTAAGTTATGTCGTCAGGAAAGAGTCATTCTCTTCACTCCTTTTCCTCCAAAACTATATCCGGCCTGTATAAGGGGACTAATTATTTATTTATCGAATATGTATTTATGAGGTCGATACTATTTACGATGTCCCCTTGTGTCATAAATCTGCCCAAATTAGGTCCAGGGGGGAAAAAAGTGTTTTCCAGAAGATAAATTGACTTGCTTTCTTATTTCAAAGATTAAAATGAATCAAGGAGTAAGTGTTTGAAAACTTAGAGTAGATTCAGCGCTAACTGATAATCAGTTTACCAAAAGGTTCTTCGGGCATCCTTTGGGCCAGGGGTCAGCACACTGTTTCTATAAAGAGCTAAATAGAAAATATTTGTGAGCCGCATGGTCTGTTACAATTGTCCGACTTTGCAGTTGCAACGTAAAAGCACTCACAGACACTATGTTCGTTAACAACTGAGTCTGTGTTCCAATAAAACTTTATTTACCAAAACAAGCAGTGGGCCACATTTGGCCCGCTGGCCATGGTTTACCAACTCCTGTTTTGGATGATACCTAATCCATTTTTATCCTAAATTATCCTTGTAAGTCCCCCAAAAATCCCTATAGACTAAAACACAATATAAATGAAAAATATACTAACGGACTGAAAAAGGCCTTTCACGGCCATGGGGGTTAACAATGAAGGAATCTAGTGGGCCGAAATTCAAAGGCAGCAAAGTGATAACAAACCACTTTCTGTGGTCCCCGTATGAGCTGCCACTCACCTAGAAATGACTTGGCCACCGCATGCAGGGCCTGGGAAGGCCAGGGCATGAACCAGTCGATGCCGGTGTTATTTACCAGACCTGGGAGAGAACAAGAGAGAGGGGTGACTGCTCCGTGACCCCGAACGCCCCGGAACGCGGGCTCCGCCTCTAACGCCCGCACACCGGTGAAGGGGCCGGACGCGTCCGAGAGCCACGCATCCATCCTCAGCACCACTGATGTGCGGGCCAGGTGATCCTCTGTTCGGGGGCTGTCTGCGCTTCGTGGGATGTTTAGCGGCTCCCCGGCCTCTGTCACCTGGATGTCAGTGGTATACTCCGCCACTGCCACCCCACGTGACAACCAAAATGTCTCCCAGCACTGACATGTGTCCCCTGTGGGGCAAAACCGACCCTCATCGAGAACCTCTGACCTAATGGCCTTCCATGGGGCTGGCAGAATTTTCCCAGTGGGAAGAGAGCAGAGAGCAATGCCACGCCCACCAAGGGCCTTGCACCTGGGACCCTGAGCATTTCCTTGTGTCAGAGGGACACCGCCCACCCGTGGGCAACACGAGAGCCTGCTGGCACTTGAGGGGGGCAGTGCGGGGCTCCCTGACACTGCCAGGCTCAACGTCACCCGGATGACCGCATCCTGTTTTATAGTGCTGCCGGCACCTCAGGACATGCCCTGCTCCCCGGGGCACAGGCTCAGCTCAAGCACACCTGGGAAGTTTCTGCACCGGGTCCTCAGGGTGTCCCCCACGGGCGACATGCCCAGGACGACGTGCAGGTTGTTGGCGCTCTTGTTTACGAAGTACTGCCACACGGACTCCTTGGCCGGGCCCATCCCCTGCTTCAGAGCCTCTTGCCCGATCTGACTGAGAACAGACTCCTTCTCCTCGTCCGGGAAGAGCGCGGGTACGATTCCTGAAAAGCAAAGACATGCTGGGTTTTTTGAGTCCCAGGGTGATTGTCGCTCTAAGGCTCTGAAAGGACAGAGCACACTGTCACGGGGGACAGTCCCAAGCGCAGAGCTGGGGTCCCGACGCTGAGACCTGAGCCCCATTCGGCCTGGCTGCCCAAACCCCTTTGAGCCTCAATCTCTGCACCTGAGAAATAGGAATAAAAAAATGCCTCCTGCTTACCTGGGAGCGTTATCGTGAGCATCAAAGCAGAGAGTCTCGGCTGGGAGCAACCGGACCCCCCCAGAGACATCTAGCAGTATCCGGAGACATTTTGGGGGTCACAACTTGTGTGTACGTGTGCGGGGCTGGGGTGGGGGAGTGGCTAATGTCATCTAGTGGGTAGAAGCCAGGGATGCTGCTGACCATCCTATAATGCCCAGGACGGCCCCACAGCAAAGTATTCCCCTGCCCCCAATGTCACCAGAGCTGAGGATGAGAGATGCTGCCACAAAGCTCAGGGCTTCAGAGGATAAACAACCTGGCCCCAGGCCCACAGGAGCCCCTCCCTATCTTCACAGGCAAGACCTCGCATGGGATTCACAGACGTAGAGAGCTGACCCCTACAAGTCTGCGACTCATGTATGAAAAGTCCCAGGCCAGGCTGCTCATGTGGCATATTGCACGCGCCCCCCTGGGTCGGCAAACGAATCCACCCTGGGACAAGCCATTGGGTTTCTCCTCCATGTCGCCAGCTCCACAGGCCCCAGGTGGCACAGCCCCAGTCTGCTCGAGCTGGCTCGGCGAAGGAAGCCCGCCCCTGCTGGCTCCAGCTGGAAACCGGGGGTCACCCCCCTGACACCTTCCCTTACTCACCCTGGCCCCACCCTCCAAGTCCCGCTGGCTCCACCTCCAAAGCAGCTCGGGGATCCACTCGCTTCTCTCCATTCCCACTGTCCACCCTGCGCCGGTCACTGCCATGTCTCCCCGCTCCTGCTCTTACCTCGCCGACTCTAGTCCCCACAGGGCGGCCCAGAGGGATCTTCAAAACAGAAACCTAGACGGGGGCATTGCCCGGAGGCCGCACCATCTCATCTCCTTCAGGTGGCCCGTCCCCGGCTCTGCGTCCCCCCACCAGCTGCCCACCCCCGCAAGGGCCACTCCCCGTGTCATCCTCGGGGATGCAGGGAACCCTCTGCCTGTCCCACCCCGTAGGTGGGCAGCGCTGGCCCGGAACACGGACAGCCGGACAGCCGGACAGCCCACCTGAGGTCAGCATGTTGTTGATGAGCTCCAGGAAGCCCTCCTCGGCCACGTGGGCGTCGGTGAACAGGAACATCACCGTTTTGTTCTCGAGGCCCAGCTTCAGGTAAAGGCTCTTCAGGTCCTCCCGGAAGTTGTTCTCGGAGTAGCCTCGGCTCAGGAGGATCTCGAACACCTGCCGGGGACACGCGGGACACGCAGGAGCGTCGCGGGCCATCGGGCTGCGGGCCGTCCGGGAGGGACGAGGGACAGCGGTACCAGGGGACCCCGGGCACCCCTGTCGGTCAGACGAACCGCGACGGCCGTTCTGCACCTGCACACGCGTGGGGAGCTGCGTGCACGGGGATCAGGTCGGTCCACACGTGAGTGTGGGAAAGGGGGGCGGTGTAAGGTCCCCCTCAGCTGTTAAAATGAGTCATCTGAGTCAGAAGGGAAGGCGAGAAACGCGGAAGTGGGGAGCGAAGCGGGGGGCGGGCCAAGTGCAGACGAGCAGGACCCCGGAGCGTTTAAACTGAGATACACCGTGGGAGGATGGTAAAGAAACGGGACCAGAAGCTGTCTGAGACGCTGACATGTAAAAATCCTATCGCATGCGAAAGAGACGGAACGGGGTTTCTTTCCATTTGTTTTTATTGTATCTGTAGGACAGGATGGACGTTGACCGAATTTATTGTGGCGATCGTGTCACAGTATATGTAAGCCAAACCTCATAAAGTGACATATGTCAATTATACCTCGGTAAAACTGGAAACATAGTGTCGTATTTGCTCTGAACCTATTTTTAACAATGTTACGGATGAAGTCAAAAGTCCTTTGCCTTCCCCCTTGTCCTCCGTCTCCAGGCCTTTCTTATTCCTTCTCCAAGGAAGCGGACACCACGGTGGACTTAGGTTCCAAACTTTCTAATGTGAAATCTGGTGTCACATATCAAAAGTTTTTTTAAAAGTTTATGCCCTTTAACCCACTAATTTTCTAATTTCTAAAAAAAAAAAAAAAATGATTCTCTGGGGGAAAAATGATCATTGTGCAAAGACACATGAATAACGGTGTTTATCACGGCATTATTTATAACACTAAAACAAAGAAAAGGCTAACTATCCACCAGTAGAAGGGGCTTATGTACGGAATATCCGTATAATGCGACACCATGCAGTTTCTAAGGACAACGCAAATATGTAGTTACTGACTTGAAAAGCTGTCGGTGACATACAGTTAAGTGGGAAAAAACACATTACAAAACTGTTCATAGCAGCCAAAAAGCGGGGACAGCCCAGGTGTCCATCAGTGGGCGACGGATAATCAGGACGTGGTCTCTGCAAACAATGGTGCCTAATGAAACCGTAAAAAGGGACAAAGAGCTGACACGTGGATGAAGCCTGAAAACACGCTGGGTGAAAGCAGCCACCGCAGAAGACCACACGGCCCCCCGATTCTACCCGTGTGCGAGTACGGAGCACGGAAGCCCATACGGACAGAAAGGAGCCTTGTGGATTCTAGGGCTGGGGTGCAGAAAGACGGGGGCAATAGCTAAGAGGCACAGGATTTCCTGTCAGGGGGATGAAAATGTTCCAAGAAAGACTGTGGTGATGGCAGCACACGTCTGTGAAGGCACCAAAAAGCGCTGGGCTGTGCCCTTAATGGGTGAACTGTATGGTCTGGGAATTATATTTCAATAAAGCTGGTTTTTTAAAAGAGAGTCTAAGAATAGCCAGAACCGTTTGTGCTGCTTGTGCAGACGCAGCAGCCAGCAAACTGCCGGCCTGGTGGCCGGGCCCACAGGAGTTTGGGCCACGCCTCCCCCCATACACGTGCATGTCACCAACCACAGGGTTTGCTCGCCTGACTTTCAAACTTGACGTGATCTCCGTTCCAAAAACCACACAAGGATTAGATGCTTTGGATATTCAGTTAAAATAAGATCGAGCCCCCCTCCAAAAATCCCCCCACTTTATCCTGTGTGAAAACATCGCGTTATGATCTGCTACAGATCGTTCCAACATTTGCGTGAACCGCCAGCTGCAGAAACTGGCAGGCGGCGCCCGCTTCTGGGCTGGGAGGGAGCCTCACCTCGTAGCCGGCGGTGAAGGCGGCCAGCCTGGCGAGAGACTGCTTCCCCGAGCCGCCGACGCCCACCAGCAGGGCATGGCCGAGCCCCATCCTGATGGTGCGGTGCACGCGCGTCAGATGCTCCAGGGCGTCGTCAAAGAGAACCAGGTTCATTTTGGTGTTGCTTTCGTTGTACTCCTCGAGGATTTCCTGAATTTAAAAAAAAAAAAAATTCAAAGGGGCGCTGGGTTTCAAGAGACAGACTCTCTCCTCCTGTCCGGGAGGGACTGAGAACGGAGAGATGTTTCCCCACGTCTAAACCGTTGAAATCGTCGAGTCGTTTGGGTCTACGGGACGCTGAGTGTAGCGTTTACCATCTAGTTTTTGATCGGCTGCTTTGTGATTGGCTGGCAGCGAGCCAGCGCTGATTGCAAGGCTCGACTCATCGATTAAGATAAGACCGGCTGTTAGGGAGTCGGATGAGTGGTTCCCAAACCCGACTGCGCATCGGAACCCCAGGACCCTCCATGCGCTCAATGAAGGGACCCTAGGCGGGGTGGGCCCAGGGCTCCGTGCGTCCAACGAATTCCTCAGGTCGTTCCCACGCACCGCGGGATGTGGGAACCACTGGATGGGGAGACAAGCTCACATTCTGAACCAGGAGACAGAAAGGTGGGTGTTCTTCCCAGCGCCACCTCCTGGGCACCCACGCAAACCTCGGCTCCCACCAGAAGTGCTCTCGGGAGAAGTGAGCCCCACCGCACCTGGAACAAAGCCTTGGCTGCCTCGTAGTCCTGGATGTCTTCATAAATGCGCATTTCCTCTTCATGCAGAGCCATCCGGAAGTCCCCAAAGAGGATGGGGTCCCTCATCACCACCTCCACGTCATCGTTAAAATGCTCCGTAACCAAGTCTCTGATGTGCTCTTGTACCTTACAATATAAGACCACTTAAAGACCCAAACTCGACAACATATGTGTGCTAACACTTGTCAGGAAAAAAAGCCTATGCTAGGATTATCTGAAGTCATTTGCGTTCGATTTTTTTTTCTAGTTGCTATAAGGTGCTTAAAAATCTGCCCTCCTTTGTACCCGTTGACTTTTATTGTTAGTGTCTATTTTTCTGCAATGTTCTGTATAAAAAATACATTGGTTTGTTTATGCTCTTTTTTTCACCCAGAAGAATTCTGCGGTTAGTTTATTTGCAGGTAGGTTTGGTGTACTGACCAGCTCTTTGTCAGTCTCATTGATTAACCGGTCGTGGAAGACTCTCAGACATTCGTTCCTCCAGACTCTCACCATCTGGGTCACCGTCTGGAACCTACATGATAGAAGAGGCAAAATCAGCTATGACGTCATCTAGAGAAGAGCGGGCTAAACGCTGCTCTTTTCAGATGGGTACACAAGGTGCAGAAAAGGACATTTCTATGGTTCTTCCCCCGCTCCTCCTGCTGGGCTCACATTAATGACGTTTAATGGAAGCTAACAAATTCAATGTAAAGACCTTAAAGTCATCATCTATAACCTAACCTGCCGTAGGGAAGAAAATAACATTATCTGTAAATGACATTTGTGACATAAAATGAGCACCTGACACTGCTCCGACTCGGTGGAATACCTGAATTTAAAATTAGCATCAGGGCCACCGGCCACTCCTTCTAAGAATCAGCTCCATCCGGTCCCCGTTCTGGAGCTTTCTCCAGTTTCTGGCGCTCTACCCTACCTACCTGGAGCTGCCCTCCCCTGAAGTGCCATTCCAAGCCCCTCAAGGGCACCTGAAAGTAAGTTTGGGTACAAGAAAAGTCCTTAAATCCATTTTTCAATTCATAATGAGAATCCACAAAATTGGACTATGCTTATACATACACAGATGAATGTATACGTTGACGCAAATACATTAATAAGTCTACTTTTAATGAGCAAATTTCTATACCCAGACTTAACTCCCTCTGTGCTTAACTCTCCCAAAGACTCACATAATATCACCAAACCGAACTGGAACATTCAGTTGCACGAGCAAAAGGCTCCACGCAGGCAAATTCCAACTTCACGACTGAGAACAAGAGGTCGGCAGAGCGGTCCCACCAAGGGGACACACCTGTCCACACGTCCACACATCTGCCTCTCTCGTTCTACCTGTCTTCAACTCAAGGGCTGTACAGGGTAACACACCTTAAACCAAGTGTTTAACTTTTCTTCACTTAACACAGACAAAAAGATACCGGGTACTTAATCGATTCATCACATTCATCGATAAGTGCGCAGGGTAACACACCTTAAACCAAGTTTAACTTTTCTTCATTTAACACAAAAAGATACTAGGTACTTAATCGATTCATCACATTCATCGATAAGTCCTCTGTCCTAAAAGAATGAGAAAAGCCATCGCTGTGGGACACATCGTAGGCAAAACGAACTCACCGCTCCGGGTGAGTGAGGACCAGCCCGTTGAAAACCCGCGAGAGGTCGCGGAGGTTAAAGATGTAGTGGAACTTGGATGGTGTGGGAGGCAGTTCCTGCACGATGTTTTCGTAAAGCTCCAGCGTGCAGAACGTCAGCTCGTCACTCACAGCCTGGATGCTCTCGTGAAACACCTGAAAAGTGAGAAGACCCCTCAAACGCCTGGCAGTGGATGAACAGATAAGCCAACCGTGGTCCAGCCATACAATGGAATATTATTCGGCCATAAAAAGGAAGGAAGCATTGACACAGGCCATGACATGGGTGAACCTTGAAAACGTGGTGCTGAGTGAAATAAGCCGACAGAGAAGACCGCCTATTGTATGATTTCATTTGCATGAGATGTCCAGAACGGGCAAATCCATAGAAACAGAAAGCAGCTGGTGGGTGCCAGGGGCTGGGGGACGGGGTGGAGTCCCCTGCTTTCAGGGTGATGAAGATGTTTTGGAACTAGACACGGTGCTGGCTGTATAACATTACGAATGTACTAAATGCTGTGGGACTGTATACTTCCAGATGGTTAAAATAACTGATCTTACGTTGTATGAATTTTACCATAATTTTTTAAAAGAGAGAAACTCGTCGCCCGATCTGCTTTCGCTTTTCTAGATTTTCACATTAATGGACAAGCCGACATGATGTGAGACCAGAGCCCCAAACCAGCCCTCAAACCAGTTCGAGTTTTACTGGTGCGGACCTCAGTTTTGAAAGCCAAGGCTTTAACGTAGGGCACGAACATGCCCAGTGCCCAGGTATTGCTGGTCACACCTGGCCATGCCACACCTTTGCCTTTCCTGCCTGGCCCCTGAAGACTTTGAGCATGCAAGCCACACTGCAGAAGGGAAATGCCAGGATCAGAAGGTCGTTATTTCAATGAATGGTTTCCTTTTGTGGGGTCCAAATCGACCACAATAATAGCAGCAGTGACGGGAATGTAAAGAGCATCTGCTACGCGCTCTGTGACACCTGCTTTTCATGCTTTTTTCTCCTTTCACGATCCCAACACCTGGCAAGGTGGGCACCGCCATTACCTCCGTGTTCCAGATGAGAATGGAGCCTGGGAAAGCTCAAGAGTCCTGCCCAAGGAGCAGAAAGGGGACTGACTCCAGAACCCAAGTCCCCTGCTTGATTTCGCTGCTGTTACTCGATGTGGCAATGTGACTCGGCCACATCGTGACTTCCGTGGGCCCAAGACGCTTCTGCCTCTGGGTCCCTTTCTTCATAAAAATATAACATTGCGTATTTTTTGACTATCAGTATAAAGATGAATATAATTCAAGCTGGATTACATTCATTTTTTCCCCCCTCTGGTTTTGAAAGACATTAAAACCTGTTCACAGGCCCCTAATGGCGCCGTGGGCTGTGGGCATGGAGCCTGCTGTGCCTCCTGCATAAGTCAGCCCTGCCCACATTTCTACCCAACACGAGGCCCCAGTCAGACGGCTAAGGGAAATCGAGTTACCGAGGTATGGCCTTTCAGGATGGAGGAGTAAATTAAATGCAAAGACTCCTCGGAAGGGAATGGAACATTGAAGACATTGAACAGGGAAATGAATCTCGGATCCACTTCGTTGCGGCCTCCTCCAGCTTTTCCCATGGCGGCGACGAAGCCGAGGTCGCGAATGCTTTTGCAGTTCAGCTCCTTGCCCCGGTCGTACAAGTACCCTTTCTCCAGCAGCAGCTTCAGCAGGGCGATCGGCTGCTGGGTGCCGTATTCGTCCACCTCGATTGTTTTAAAGACAAAAAAAGAGAGAACAGTTGTATCCGAATGCAGAACTCAGCCGTGGCCTTGCCGGCTGTCACCTCTCCCGGACCCTCCCCAGAGCACTCTGGGCATGGTTTCGCAGGGTTTCTCAAAGTGTGTGATCATATGTTCATTTGTAACTTTAAAATCTGTCTCCCTCACTAGACTGTGAGTTCCCTGAGGGCAGGGAAGGCATGTGTTTTGCTTATCACTGCACAGCACCGCTCCCATGGGAGGCGCTCAGTAAATGCGTTAATTGGATGGATGAGGGATGGATAAAGAGGTATGTAGATGGATGGATGGATGGATAGATAGGTGGGTGGATGGATGCATGGACAGACACACGGATGGATAGATGCATGCATGGATGAAGAGATGCAGGGACGAACAGAGAAATGGGCGTATGGATGCATGGATGGATGGATGCATGCATGGATCCCGGTTTTGCACACAGTCCATCTGGAAGATAGATTTTCAGCGGGGAAAAATGGTTCTGCAAAAATGATGTAAATTTAAATTCTAGCACTAAGAAAACTTTGCAGCTCTCAGGCTCTGGCCCCAGAAGCACACTCAGCATGCATGCTAAAGTCCCTTCCCTGGGTAAACTCCTGAGGAATTCTTGGGAAACGTCCGCCCTTACAGCCCCCGTGTGCACATGGCCGAGAACAGCGTCATCATCTAAAGTACGGCTCATTTGGAAGCTGCTTCGGACACGTGCTGGGTATAGTTCCGCGGCTGATGCTGCCTCCTTCCCTCCTTCGGGACACTGAGGAGCATGACCACTAAGGACAAGGTCCCTCTGTGAGGAGAGCATCCCAGCAACATTGTCTCCTGAGCCGGCTCCCCAAAACCCACGCGCCCCGCAGACATCACACAGAGCAGAGACAGGTGTCCGCGCACACACGCGCTCCGTGCGCATGCGTCAGCCCCGCCCCGGGACCGGCACTACCTTTGGCATGTTCATGTCGTCCATGAACACCAGCAGGCGTTTGCCCATGGGGGGGCCGTACGTGTCTTTGGTTCGTTTTTCCACGTTCGCTTCTAAATTTCTTTGGATATCCAGGGATGTGGTGCGGGAGGAGAAATTGACCATTAAGACGATCTGCAACAGAAAGAAATCATTCGAAAAGTTGGTCTGTTCTTCGCGGTATGGGCGGTAAGCGTTCGACCACGAGCTGTACCATCTCTTTTCCAGCTTCAGTGGGACGGGAACTAACATTTTAATAAGACAATGTGTCTGTACCTCCTTCTTTTCTGAGTGCTCAAGCAGGAACGCCCCCTCCCCTTAGGCAGGCTGCCCAAGGCAAAGGAGCTGGCGCGTGTGGACCTCGGGGACGATGTGGACGGGGGCCTCGGCTCCGCACTGAACCTTTAGGAGCCTCGCTCTTCTCGTCTGTGGGAGGGGGTCGATGACCCCTGCGTGGACGACGTCCTGGGGCGATCACCTCAGGGGAAGGGATCTGCACAGGGGCATCCTCGGCACCGCAGAGCAGCATTCAAACCCAAGTGCCTGCATCAAAACCAAGCTGCTGCGTCTTGACGAACAGGTCAAAGCCAGCGAGAACGACCACCGGCTCCCTCTTCGGAACTGCTTGCCCAGTGAACGGGAGCACGGCCCCGGAGCCCTGTGTGGGGAGCACGGCCCCGTGCATGGGTGCTCCGCCCCCCCACCCCCCACTGTTTCTCAGAGTGGCTGGTGACAGTTCATTGATGGGTGGTTCTCACGCTTAACGCATCAGAATTATCTGGGGGGCTCGTGTCCTACAGCAGGTCGGCCCCGTCCTCACGCTTTTCGAATCAGTAGATCTGGGGCGTGTCTAGCGAGCTTTCAGGTGATGCTTCTGGTCTGAGGACCACTGCCTTAGCTAACACCCCCGACTGAGGTGCCCCGGCGGGCAGGTGCCTATGAGCTGAACGTGCATCTCCGTACGGCGGGTGTGCTCAGGTAGCCTTGTTGGGCCTGTGAGCACCAGCTGCTGGGTCCCAGCAGATGGGTCTTTTGGGGCGCGCTTCTGAACACGGCCTCCCTTTGCCCGTCTCCACAGACTTGTAGGGCCCTCCGGCTGGAAACATCCCTTTCGTGCCCTCTTCAATGGCCTTCTCGAAGCTCGTACTAAACCATGTTTGCACGCACCGGGATGTGAGTGAGCGGACCCCTCCCGGGCAGACTGGCCCAGTCCTCCCCACGTCCCTGACAAGGCCCACTGCAAAGCCCGGCCATCACCACCCCCACCACCGCCTCCGTGCTGCGGTGGTTTGCGACGCAGCACCCGATCGCGCATACAGACGCTGACTTACATTAGCCTCTTCGCTCAGATTTTTGAGGAAGTTCTGGGTGGTGGCCGTCTTCGAGGTGCCAGATTCACCGACCAGAATGACAGGTTGTTTAATCTTAACCATCTGCTCCAGCATCCAGGTGGTGCGGGTCGTGTCCACCGTGTGAACTAAGAAATATGTCAAGAACAGGAGCATCACAGAAATGCCGGTGGGGGCGGTGGGGGGCGGGGGCGCCTACGGCAATGTGGAATTCCACGGACTCACCTCAATCCCACAGAAAGTGTCAGCAAAAACCTCAGATGTGACCTCGAAAACGTACAGATGGGTAAAGTCTTCTTAGAAGCTCCCTTCCCCAACCACTATTTTTAATAGCTTTACGGAGGTGTGACTTACATATCAGAAAAGTCATCCATTTTAAGGGTGAATTTCTACGTTTCTACAGCCGTGCCATCACCACCACAGCCCAGGGTTAGAACACCCCAACCGCGTTTAATAGCCAGTCCTGACTTGTACGCAGGATATTAAACGCTAAGCTGCTGCACTGCGTACGTCACTCATTCATTGCAGGACCCGGTTTCCTGACCAACGACTTCCCCTGCAGAGGGCATGAAACCTCAGATGCAAGTCTGGCTCACTCCTATGCTGGCGGCTTTTAATTCTAATCGGCTCGTGAAAAAAAAAAACTGGTATGTCTCACTCTGTGAGAGCCAAAATCGGACACTTATTTTGTGGAAATACTCGGCCTCTATGCTCTTATGTTCTCCTGTACAGGATCGAATGAAGTATAGGAGTTTGGAAGGCGACCTGCAGTAAACAGTGGTCTATTTCACTTCGATCGTAGACGTGGAGCTGCGGAATCAGCTCTGGCACGGGCCTGACGCCAATGCTACGTGTTCCCTGAGATCTAAACGGCCAGAGGAATGAGTTTAAAATCTGGCTCACTATATAAATATCTGCGGTACACAGCTTTTTTTTTTTTTTTTTTTTTTCAAAGAGGTGGCACCTTTTTGCAAAACACTGCCTTGTTCCTTCCCACTCCTGGCCAGCGACATGGGCCAAAGCGAGCCCGTGGGAGCGTGAGCAGAGGCACAGCAGCACGGGCCCAGCCCCGCCCCGCCATCGGGACCGGCCTCCCTGGGGAAAGAACCGAGAGTCACGGGCATCCATCTGAAGTTTCTCGGAGCCAGCAGCCCATCAAAGGAATCCAACGCCCCACCCTCGCGGCCGGGCCCGCGGCTCACTCTGCTCGGTTTCTCCCCACCAGCCGTCGGGGTGGGACCCGGAGGGCCACGGAGACCGCGGCATCTTTTTCACGTTCTCACGGAACGAGAGCGGAGGCACAGGGGCTTGGTTCTCGCTTACCCAGGATGTCGCTGAATTTCCTCTCGTGAGAGTGAACATACTTCGGAACTAAGTTATTCCAGGGTATCCATTTCTTCTGGGCAGAATCAAAATGAAAGTCGTACATGGTTGGGAGGTGACCTGCGGGAAGTAACGGTCCATTGTTCTTCGGTCGCAGACATGGAAACACAGGAGCGGCTCTAGCACGTGCTCGAAATGAGCTGATACTGCTTCTTCCCTGGCAGATACGTGCTGAGCATTTTGAACTAACGATACGCGTGTCCCTGTCTCCTGGACAGAGACTTACTGAGTCCCTTCCCCGGGAATATGACAGTGGGCAGACAGCCCCAGTCCCTACGCCTACAGCTCTCGATGGGGGTACAGGGAGAAAATTAAACAGGCAGTTTCAACGCAGACTGCTAAGTCCTGTAGCGGGGGAGCACTGGTGTGATGGGCACCCCGTGAAGGCATCTCACCAGGAAGGGGCAGGGGAGAGACCGAGAAACGCTAGGTGCCACCGGGCACTTGGGGAAGCTCGGCCCTCCCCTCCACCCACACGCTCTGTACCCCGATCGTCAATCACAGGGGTGCCGTGCAAACCCAGCTGTAAGGAAAGTTCACTCTCCCCCAAACAGAGTGCCACCCGCGGGTGCCTGAGCAGGAGGGAGAGTTTAGACGCTCCGAGAAAGGCCACCCGAGGGCGTTGGGCTTCTGCTGGAGCAGGTGACGCACTGGAACTTCTCCCGAGGGTACCGCCAGGTGCGCTGACCGTTGCACGTTTCTCCACAGAAGCAAACAAGCTGGAAACCCCACACGGCCACACACGCGGGAAAGCAAGATCACTCCCTCCGGAAACCTAACCCGAAGTATTCTGCGCAGGGGAACGGGGGGCACCCGGTCCCCACCTGGCAGTTCCCCGGGGTTGGCCCAAACCCCTTCCGTGTCGGCGGACGGCAGCGACGCCAGGCGTTTGACGCACTCGTCGAACCGCGCCCTGCCCTCGTCCAGCAGGGAGGCGCCCAGGGAGCAGTACAGAGCCTCCAGGAAGCAGCTCTCCACGAGGTCCGGGTCTTCCACCTCTCCTTCGAGCAGCGCGTCCAGCATCTTGGTTAACTGGGTCACCTGGTTCACAGGAGAGTGCCCGGGTCAGCCCTCCGCCCCGGGTCAGTCCCGGTCATAAGTTCTGGCTCCCCAGATTCCAGAGTGACAGGAACACGTGGCCCGCCATGCTGGTTCGGAGGCAGTCACAAAAGGAAGCACTGCGTCTTCCTTGCCAGGGACCTGCGTGCCACGCTGGGCCCATCCGGAGTCTGCTTCCCCCGAACCCGCTGCGGGCTCGCCTCCGGGCAGGACTTCGTCTCTGCTAACGAGGGCCGCTTCTCACCATGTTCAGGTCTGTCTGAGGCACGATGGTCTTCAGCTTCTCTCCTTGCCGCCCGTCCACTACCCCTTCCACTATCACGTCGATGAGATAGGGCACGTACTTCTCAAAGAGACTCTGCAAATGGCCTTGCTCCACCTGCGGAAGAGCAGAATGCCCGAGCATTTTCGAGGATCCCTCACCGAAAGGGGAGTCAGTGTGACCCTTTTCT